AAGGAAAAAGGAAAAAGAAAGAATTTTTTAAGTGTTCTTTTTTCATATTAATATTTTTATTATATTATTTTTTTGATGTCACTAGTTCTTGCCATATTGTCTTCCACGTGTTTTAACATTTTAACATGTCATCATGTTACTATAAATTAACGGAGACACGTAGGCAAATTTTTAACGAAAGGACCAAATCGGGGTAAAAATGATAAATAGTAGGGACCAGATTAAGGATTTTTTTAGTTTAGGGACCAAATCAGGTGTCCGTAAATAGTTCAAGGACTAAAAAAGGGATTTAACCTAGTTGGCTCCCAATGCTTAATTGCCTAGATTGAAATGAGACAAAGTTAACGAGGGATGGTAATGTATCTGAATGGGATTGGAGACTTCCTCCTTGTCCCTATTTTTTTCAATATTGAGTAGAGGATCTTTGTAAAGATTTTCTTATAAAGACAAAGAGTAATGATAAGGAGAATGAATTTCGAGGATGAAAATATAATACAAATCAATGTAATAACCACGTAGTTCTTAACTTGTAATTTTTTTTAAAGAATAAATGTTTAATTTAAAAAATTGGAAGTTTTTACTCAAATTTCACCATTTAGAATTCTTGTTCTTTGTTAATTTTTACCAAAACTTAAGCAACAAAAATTAATATAGAAGAGGGGGACTCAAAATTTATTAGATCCAATGAAGGTTCAAAGAGGTGAACCAACCCCACTTTGTCTTCCTTGCTAATTTTCTTTTACTATGGCTCAAGTTAATCCAAAGAAGGCTAGATGAAAATTCAAAGAACGGAGAGGAATTTTCAATAAAGTCTCATGTTTGGGTTTTGGACATGAGTCCATGTAAATTGTAGTGGAAAAAAATTATTTTCTCTAGCAAGGGGAGTCTCTTGCTATGATCAAGAGAGAATCAGAAAGGGAGATATGTAGTTGAAGGAGAAGAGAGGGCAAATTAGGCATCGAGAAGAAGACCATTAGAGCCTTGTATTCAATTTCAAACGTAACCTTATCTTTCTTCAATTCCAAGGTATTTTATTTTTATTATTATTATTTTTGCAATGGGCAATTGGGGGAATGAAAAATGGGATTCATGAGACTTGAAACCATAATCCACGGGAAGTGATCCTCACTAAACCAAAAATCTTGGTCACTAAGTCAAGGCATACGGATTAATTCCAAGGTATTTTCCTCTTTGGGTGTAATACCCCAAAATTTTGTGATATTTTAGCATTAAGTTAAGGATTAAATTGTGAAAAAATATTGTTTTGGGTTTAATGGCCAAAATGTCCAAACTTGAGGGACTTAAAAGAGGATAAATTTGGATAAGGATGTTTTTTCTTTTTTTTCTTTCTTTCTTTCTTCTTCAGCCCGATTCTGCTCTTCTTTCTTCCCCTGCACCGA